CCACGCAGACCAGGCAGCAGACGGGACTCGAACCCGCACCCTTCGCAATCCGGGCGAATGCACTGACCAATTATGCTACCGCGGCCCTCACGGACCGCGTCGAAATTCTTTCTAGCTATTCTTAAGCTGCAAGGCAGCGCCATCTCTTCGCATTATAGGTAAACCCACAATGTCAAATGAATACTTTTTACAAGTATTAAACATTTGAAAGAAGAAATAGCAATTATAGTTATAATTTTTATTATTTTTAAAGCATGTAACTGCTTGATGTTTAAATCTTAAGAAAATATAACTAGAAAAAATTCCACGCGGACCAGGCAGCAGACGGGACTCGAACCCGCACCCTTCGCAATCCGGGCGAATGCACTGACCAATTATGCTACCGCGGCCCTCACGGACCGCGTCGAAATTCTTTCTAGCTATTCTTAAGCTGCAAGGCAGCGCCATCTCTTCGCATTATAGGTAAACCCACAATGTCAAATGAATACTTTTTACAAGTATTAAACATTTGAAAGAAGAAATAGCAATTATAGTTATAATTTTTATTATTTTTAAAGCATGTAACTGCTTGATGTTTAAATCTAAAGAAAATATAACTAGAAAAAATTCCACGCGGACCAGGCAGCAGACGGGACTCGAACCCGCACCCTTCGCAATCCGGGCGAATGCACTGACCAATTATGCTACCGCGGCCCTCACGGACCGCGTCGAAATTCGAATTTTTTCTAGTTATATTTTCTTTAGATTTAAACATCAAGCAGTTACATGCTTTAAAAATAATAAAAATTATAACTATAATTGCTATTTCTTCTTTCAAATGTTTAATACTTGTAAAAAGTATTCATTTGACATTGTGGGTTTACCTATAATGCGAAGAGATGGCGCTGCCTTGCGGCTTAAGAATAGCTAGAAAGAATTTCGACGCGGTCCGTGAGGGCCGCGGTAGCATAATTGGTCAGTGCATTCGCCCGGATTGCGAAGGGTGCGGGTTCGAGTCCCGTCTGCTGCCTGGTCCGCGTGGAATTTTTTCTAGTTATATTTTCTTAAGATTTAAACATCAAGCAGTTACATGCTTTAAAAATAATAAAAATTATAACTATAATTGCTATTTCTTCTTTCAAATGTTTAATACTTGTAAAAAGTATTCATTTGACATTGTGGGTTTACCTATAATGCGAAGAGATGGCGCTGCCTTGCAGCTTAAGAATAGCTAGAAAGAATTTCGACGCGGTCCGTGAGGGCCGCGGTAGCATAATTGGTCAGTGCATTCGCCCGGATTGCGAAGGGTGCGGGTTCGAGTCCCGTCTGCTGCCTGGTCCGCGTGGAATTTTTTCTAGTTATATTTTCTTTAGATTTAAACATCAAGCAGTTACATGCTTTAAAAATAATAAAAATTATAACTATAATTGCTATTTCTTCTTTCAAATGTTTAATACTTGTAAAAAGTATTCATTTGACATTGTGGGTTTACCTATAATGCAAAGAGATGGCGCTGCCTTGCAGCTTAAGAATAGCTAGAAAGAATTTCGACGCGGTCCGTGAGGGCCGCGGTAGCATAATTGGTCAGTGCATTCGCCCGGATTGCGAAGGGTGCGGGTTCAAGTCCCGTCTGCTGCCTGGTCCGCGTGGAATTTTTTCTAGTTATATTTTCTTAAGATTTAAACATCAAGCAGTTACATGCTTTAAAAATAATAAAAATTATAACTATAATTGCTATTTCTTCTTTCAAATGTTTAATACTTGTAAAAAGTATTCATTTGACATTGTGGGTTTACCTATAATGCGAAGAGATGGCGCTGCCTTGCAGCTTAAGAATAGCTAGAAAGAATTTCGACGCGGTCCGTGAGGGCCGCGGTAGCATAATTGGTCAGTGCATTCGCCCGGATTGCGAAGGGTGCGGGTTCGAGTCCCGTCTGCTGCCTGGTCCGCGTGGAATTTTTTCTAGTTATATTTTCTTAAGATTTAAACATCAAGCAGTTACATGCTTTAAAAATAATAAAAATTATAACTATAATTGCTATTTCTTCTTTCAAATGTTTAATACTTGTAAAAAGTATTCATTTGACATTGTGGGTTTACCTATAATGCGAAGAGATGGCGCTGCCTTGCAGCTTAAGAATAGCTAGAAAGAATTTCGACGCGGTCCGTGAGGGCCGCGGTAGCATAATTGGTCAGTGCATTCGCCCGGATTGCGAAGGGTGCGGGTTCGAGTCCCGTCTGCTGCCTGGTCCGCGTGGAATTTTTTCTAGTTATATTTTCTTTAGATTTAAACATCAAGCAGTTACATGCTTTAAAAATAATAAAAATTATAACTATAATTGCTATTTCTTCTTTCAAATGTTTAAAACTTGTAAAAAGTATTCATTTGACATTGTGGGTTTACCTATAATGCGAAGAGATGGCGCTGCCTTGCAGCTTAAGAATAGCTAGAAAGAATTTCGACGCGGTCCGTGAGGGCCGCGGTAGCATAATTGGTCAGTGCATTCGCCCGGATTGCGAAGGGTGCGGGTTCGAGTCCCGTCTGCTGCCTGGTCCGCGTGGAATTTTTTCTAGTTATATTTTCTTAAGATTTAAACATCAAGCAGTTACATGCTTTAAAAATAATAAAAATTATAACTATAATTGCTATTTCTTCTTTCAAATGTTTAATACTTGTAAAAAGTATTCATTTGACATTGTGGGTTTACCTATAATGCGAAGAGATGGCGCTGCCTTGCAGCTTAAGAATAGCTAGAAAGAATTTCGACGCGGTCCGTGAGGGCCGCGGTAGCATAATTGGTCAGTGCATTCGCCCGGATTGCGAAGGGTGCGGGTTCGAGTCCCGTCTGCTGCCTGGTCCGCGTGGAATTTTTTCTAGTTATATTTTCTTTAGATTTAAACATCAAGCAGTTACATGCTTTAAAAATAATAAAAATTATAACTATTATTGCTATTTCTTCTTTCAAATGTTTAATACTTGTAAAAAGTATTCATTTGACATTGTGGGTTTTCCTATAATGCGAAGAGATGGCGCTGCCTTGCAGCTTAAGAATAGCTAGAAAGAATTTCGACGCGGTCCGTGAGGGCCGCGGTAGCATAATTGGTCAGTGCATTCGCCCGGATTGCGAAGGGTGCGGGTTCGAGTCCCGTCTGCTGCCTGGTCCGCGTGGAATTTTTTCTAGTTATATTTTCTTTAGATTTAAACATCAAGCAGTTACATGCTTTAAAATAATAAAAATTATAACTATAATTGCTATTTCTTCTTTCAAATGTTTTATACTTGTAAAAAGTATTCATTTGACATTGTGGGTTTACCTATAATGCGAAGAGATGGCGCTGCCTTGCAGCTTAAGAATAGCTAGAAAGAATTTCGACGCGGTCCGTGAGGGCCGCGGTAGCATAATTGGTCAGTGCATTCGCCCGGATTGCGAAGGGTGCGGGTTCGAGTCCCGTCTGCTGCCTGGTCTGCGTGGAATTTTTTCTAGTTATATTTTCTTTAGATTTAAACATCAAGCAGTTACATGCTTTAAAAATAATAAAAATTATAACTATAATTGCTATTTCTTCTTTCAAATGTTTAATACTTGTAAAAAGTATTCATTTGACATTGTGGGTTTACCTATAATGCGAAGAGATGGCGCTGCCTTGCAGCTTAAGAATAGCTAGAAAGAATTTCGACGCGGTCCGTGAGGGCCGCGGTAGCATAATTGGTCAGTGCATTCGCCCGGATTGCGAAGGGTGCGGGTTCGAGTCCCGTCTGCTGCCTGGTCCGCGTGGAATTTTTTCTAGTTATATTTTCTTTAGATTTAAACATCAAGCAGTTACATGCTTTAAAAATAATAAAAATTATAACTATAATTGCTATTTCTTCTTTCAAATGTTTAATACTTGTAAAAAGTATTCATTTGACATTGTGGGTTTACCTATAATGCGAAGAGATGGCGCTGCCTTGCAGCTTAAGAATAGCTAGAAAGAATTTCGACGCGGTCCGTGAGGGCCGCGGTAGCATAATTGGTCAGTGCATTCGCCCGGATTGCGAAGGGTGCGGGTTCGAGTCCCGTCTGCTGCCTGGTCCGCGTGGAATTTTTCTAGTTATATTTTCTTTAGATTTAAACATCAAGCAGTTACATGCTTTAAAAATAATAAAAATTATAACTAAAAAATACTATTTTCATTTTTGTTACTGTAATGAAAGATGTAACTAAAGAAGTTTCGTATGAGTTTATTTTATATTTTAATGACAATAAATATCATTATAAAAAAGACAAATTATAACTTTATCCTCTCTTTTTTCTGGTTTTTAACCCATTGTTCAAAACTGCCCCATGTCGATTCAAATGTGCCCCCATGGGGAGGCAGATTTGAACAAATTTGTGTTTTAAAAAAACACATTGTTTCTCTTTAACGTTTTCAGCAAATGCAGACATTTCATCATTTTTATCATAACAAAGGAGTAAGTAATAAGAAAACTATGATTTTTCAATTTCTTTCTACAGTTGATTTTTTAAGAGTCCAATTTTGAAAAATAGTCTAATCTGCCTCTTTCTCCCCTAAGTAGTTATACTAATATTCCATGTTTTACATTTTTTTAAATGTTTATTGAATCTCCACACTAGGCATCTTTATTAGCAATAATAAAATAATGACTATTTTCGTAATTTTTGAAGGCTTTTTGTTTTTGAAGCACAAGTTATCGAAAAAAGGAAGACATAGGAGAATAGAATGAGTAAAATTATATTTCATGCAGGTATGAAAATTAATTCTTAAGTGATAAAAATCAAGGGGGAATCAATCGAGAACGGTTGTATGGAAAAAACTTTGCCCTCCTTCCCTCTTAAGTATATCACCGTAACAAGCCGTAGCCAAAATGAAACACTGCTTTTAGAACTTCACTTGGGAGCTAGCTCCTATCTACATTATAATAATAGAGTTAAGTCCAGTATCTACGAGAAGCAAGTATAGCGCTAAAGCTCTCCAGTCCCCAGGTTCCGTGTAATTCGAAAGTTTAGTTTTATACTTACGCTGCATTGGGAACTTTGCTGATATTGGCCAGGACGTGCGTGAAGTTGGTCTTTCCACATCCAGATACTGCCAATGGCTTGCCTTGAAAGGTCAATGCTCCCGTTGCCAAAGCGTTTTCAGCGCCGACGAGCAGCCAGCCGCAAAGCATCAGACTAAGTAGACATCCGCTCAGAGCGCCCTTTAAAGTAGATAACAGTGGATTGTTACATTTTTATTTTAAAGCATTTAACTGCTAGATGTTGCCGTAGTGCATTTTATCTACCTAGTAGCTCCCATTGACGATGGAAAATTGCCACTTGAAAACGTTGATTGAATAACCAGTCAATAGTAGGCTTGATAAAGACACGTCATGTTGCATGTATGAATGCAGCGGTGCAATTGTGTCATGTAGCTAGCACCTGATTTTGTACCCTTGTGTACCCTTCAACGGCCAAGTCACATAACAATAACTATAATAATAAAGAAATCGCAGTAAGGAACTTTAGACTTGGACGACTTTGTCTAGGTTTCATTACTTTTTAGAGATAAACAAGCAGCTCCATCGAGACTTGACTAGTTTTTTACAGAATGTTTTTTGTGGGATTTTACTTCTTTTTGCAGATATGTGGGGATATTGATTTATTTTATTAGATTTTCTTATTTGACACATTTTTTTCTTTTTAGGAGTAGTCTTTTTAATATTACAAATCTTTCTTTTCTTTTTTTCCGGTTCTGATTCTTGAACAGTAGCAACAGTTTTTCGTATTGTCCATTCGCGTTCTTTATTTATTCTTTTAGACGGTATAATTTCTGAAAGATCGGCGCGGTATTTACGCCAAAGCAGGTTGTATTCGGTGATCGCTGAAGCTTGAGCTTTTAAGCTCTTGCAGTCAACATTTATGAAGTGCACCCCATGAAGATTGGTTACTAGTGAAAGCGCCACGTAGGCATGGCCACAAGAGAATATGGAGGTGCCAATGTTCATGAAGGCATTTTTAAGACATAGACCTTGGTATCACCGCTACTCTTAGTCCAATGCAAATATATTTTGACCAAATTTTGAGCGAAATTAATATTTTAGTCTAAGTAATTTGTTTATTTAATTTGTGTAATGTTCGAGTAGAATAAAGTTTATGTTCGACTATTTTTCTGGCAAACTCGTAAGTATAAGTATAAAAGCCAGTCTAGTGTTATCCAGAGTTTTCCTTTAATTTTATTTATATGCGTATTAAAAGTAGAAGTGGAGGCATTCGTCCATCAGTGGGACGCTATAGGGTTGATTAAATTAAAAGATGTGTCCCACTACGCTGCATTTTTGCAATGACAGTCTATTTTTTGTGTACCAATAGTAGAAGGGGGCATTACCATATATCTAATACAGCTGAGACCAGCTGAGGGTTCTTCATCAGATACTTTAGACCTTCGATTTTTGACATCAAATGAAGCGGCCCACCAAGTTGAATATTTTTTGTGATGGCGATATGTCGATCTCTTCTAATAGTTTGGTTAGGCTCTTGTGTTTTCTAATCAGGATCACCAGGTACTAATCTAGTACAAGATCTGGAATCTTAGATTATCCTAGTTTTTATAGTTTTTCCTTTATGTGGCCATTATACCCTAACTCTGTACTAAATTTGATCTCTATTAGTTTATGGGAAGTACTAGTTCTATTCTGATGATCATGAGTGAGTGAGTGTACCATAAATGCGAAACTTTGCTTTCGCTTAACTTCGGAACTAAATAACCTACAGACTTGAAATTTTGGTATATTATGATTTTAAGTATGTTATTATAGCTTACTGGATGACGAAAATTTCTGCGTTCTAGTCTTATCCAGAGGTTCTCAAATAGGGGCCTGAAAATGCGGCGAAATCTTTCCAGTAAAAGATGGTACGGCAGTGTTTGCTTCGCGCTCGACTTGGCGGGGGCACTCCCGTGCCCCCCGATTCTTTTGTATACTGCACTGCATAGACAACTAGTATCTTTACAAGTATTGATTAATATTTACTACACATATTTTGTTTATCCAACAAGTTTGATGCAAGTTTTGTTTATACCTACTACATACTTTATACAATAAAAATAGCTAACAACACCATCTAAGGTCTGAGCCGCTGATGTTTAACTTAAAGCTCTGCAAGCACAGACTCGTATGACCATATAAGTAAGTTCATTGTCTCGTTGATAGATGGCGTTTGAATGACATAATATTGTTTCCTATATTCTACAGAGGGCGATAATATAAGTATATTTGGACTTTTTATATACTTTAGTAAACATTTATTCTTCATGAATAAACATACCAAATTCTAATAAATTAAAAAGAGCATTAGGTATTCATTTATACGCAACTTTAAACTTAAAAAGTAATTAATCCTTTTAAATGACTCTTTTGGTTGTTGGTATCATAAAATGTTTTTTTCCCCATTTTACCGGTGCGATTCTCGGACCAAGCAGGTTATTTTTCAATAATCCATAAATGCAGTTTTGATAATTATTGAAAATAAGCGATTGTTACCTCTCAGTCGAATTTGCTATCATCAATATTTAGGGTAGTACAGTGAAACCTCGTTAATTGGGTTCTCGAAGGATTTTGTACCGTTTACATAAAGAGGTTTTCATTTATCCAGTTTTTTAATTAGACAGGTTTAAAATTGTCTTATTTACAGAGGCTGGCTTATAGAGGTCGAAATGTACCGTTATTCCATTTACAAAGGTAAAAATGTTAATAAAATAGCATATTTTTGGTGTTATGAATTAAGTTTTATAAATTATATAATTTATTATAAAGAAAAAGACAATACAGTAAAGTTTATGACTTATAGTAATCGGTAATATTTGTTTGTATTTGATTGCTAGTCTGTTTGAACCCGCTTCTCAAAGAATTTTGATCAAAGTACTAGAATTATCAATATTTGACAGAGCTTTAATTTTTCAGATGCTGATAATGTGTTAAATTTATGTTTGGAAATTTTGTGAACTTTTATTCTCTTGTTTGTAGGTCAAAATTTTAGATAGTACTGACAAACAAAGCACGTACGAAAGAAATTCATATGTTTGTAAGCAATCGTGACGAAACCTGTCCCAACCTGATAAATTGTCTTACTTATAAAGGGAATTGAGCTCCAAAGACCCAATTATAGAGGTAAACATTCGAAAAGTCCTATTAACAGGCGTAATTCGATGACAGCACTTTTTCATCGAATTACGATGTCCGATGGACCTCATTGTAGTTCTCAATAATAGAGGATACTCAATTATCCAGGTCCGACTTAACCAGGTTTCACTGTATTTCTCCAACCACGGTATTTAATCCACCCTGTATTGTAATTAATTAATTAATTGTATTGTATAAGGTCATTGTTAGTTTGAGACCAGATTTGAGAGTGTCAGGTTTGGGAGAACGCAGGATATTAAACTATTTTTAGCTTTTAACTCTTGGCATTGCTTGACAATTATTTTTGTCCATAGACCTGTGTCCCTGACCTAGCAATAAGAACATAATAAAGAAGAGCTTTCTAAGCTTATGCGTAAGTATGTAGATGAGTACCTATATACTCAAATATTCTGTAAATCAGTATACACACCGAGCAATTAGCTCTCGGGACGACAATGCCCAAGGTGAAGAGCCCCAATAGAGTCCCTGCTGTAACTCCTGTCACTCCTGAAGCCACGTGCTGCAGTCGATCCAGCTCCTTGGCAGACCAGACCACGCCGGCACTGTACAAGCCTACGAGGATGCATAGCACCTAAAATTATCACGGTCGGGATTATAGAAGAAGAAATAGAAGAGTACAATTCAAACTTAATGGCGACTGTGAAGTTAGTAGTGACAGCACTATGCGCAGATTTCATATCAATGAATCCCCGAATTACCTAAATTTCGTTAACTGCGCAACGACTTGCGTTAACTCCACAGCTTCCATTATGATTTATTATTATTTACTAATAAAATGGAAAAAGTAGTTCTGCACTAATGCTTACGGTAAATTAACAAGGTAACAGTAACAGGTAATGATGATTTCTCGTATATCAGGTATATTATCAAAACATTACAGAGATATAATTGATTAAATGTCGCATGATGTTACATCTTGGTACTTACAGTTATAGAAGTGACGCCAAACAGGCGCCCAAACATTGAGGCGCTTTATTCTTGTAATTTTTTGGTTTATTGACAAAAGAAAAAATAGGTGTCTATTATTTTTTGATAATCTAACTAAGAGACTTAACAGAATTTCGTTTTCTTTACCCCGTCATTATCACTATTTTAAAAGTGATGGAGAGGGATATACACACATAGAGAGGATACAGTAAAAAATAAAGAAGTTTTATCTATATTATTATCAGCAAATCATATTTTTGGAAAAGTATATTATTTTTAAGCAAGTCATTTACTCTCTATATAAATATATATTTAATAAAATATAAAAGGTGTAGGTATTAGTTAGAAAATCTATAACTCAAAAACGGCTAGACAGATTTTATTAATATCTGATTTTTTGGATTACTCTCCGCACGGAATATCAGAATAACTAATAGAATATCGGAAAAGTCACGGAAAAAAAATTATGCAGATAATTTTTGGCCCTATTCATCGATAAGGAGATTGGGCCATGACCCATAACGCGGGCCCATTGTGGATTGGTGGCTGCTAACGACTGCAGATGCAGCCGGGAAAAACGGCATAACGTGCTTTCCGAAGCACGGAGGAGCTCGAGATGGTAAAATTTGTGGTCACCCATCCAATGACCGACCACTGCAAAACTTCAACGATCGCAGCCGAACATGCAAACCACTTGTGCCATCTAGCTCCTTGAGATGGCAACATAACCGCTTGCCTCAAATTATCGAATCTGATGCGCTAAGAAGTGAACATTTTTCAGCTGACAGCAAATAGTTACATTGCTGACAAATACATTGGCGAATTTCTGAATATCATTTCAAATGTATTTAGTTACAATCGAAAGAAAGCTCTTTAACACAGTATTCCCGAACATTTTTACCAATCAAAAACAAAAAAACCGGTTGAGACAGTGAGCAATTTTAGACCGATGTAGTTGATTTTAAATTCTTAATCAGGAACACGTTCTTGGTACAATTAATTGTGTAACAGACAAAGTCATAGCCACCAACTATCGAATTGACTTTTAAACTCAGAACAGTGTCTGGCTGGTGCCTCCTTAAAGGAGGCTCTATACGAGCACTTTTTTTTTTCAATAATTAGCCGAGCCCCAAAGTAAGCACTGTGGGCTTGTATTATGGGATACTAGGGTAACGGATATAATATATATATAAGTATATTAATACAGAAATACATATTATTATAACATCCATGACTGGAGCACAAATGCTCGTATTCATCACACAAACATTTGCCTAAACCGGGATTCGAACGCGGGACCTCTTGGGTAGGCGACACCTTGAAACCCGGCTTACAAACCACTCCGCCACGGTGTTCGTCTAATTTAAAACTGAAGTATAGCTCGGTCGTCAGCACTCTTCGTAATCTAAACCAACCGCGTACGTAATGGATATTCCATATTAATTTGGTGGAAATGGAAACTGTATAAGAAAGGTAGAAGTATTCAACTTTTTTATTGTTTTATTAAGGTTTTAGCTTAATTTAATTTAAGATTACAATCTTAAATTAACTTAAGCTAAAAGTAACGATTTTCTCCTATTGTATTCGGTACGAAGTTCGCCGGGTCCAACTAATAGATTAAGACAAATAACCATTTTTTTTACCTTCATAATTTTACAGCATGTCATTTCGTTTGTTCTTTGCGGCATCCATGGTCTAATAAACTCCTCAAACAAAACACCTGCTATTGAATTAATTAACGTGGCGATGCACCTGGGAAATAAGAAAAGGGTAAACACAAAATAAATAGTATCATAATTCAATATTTAAAAATATCAAATGTTTGTTAAATTTTGAAAAAGTGTTCTGATTAGTCACCTTATTGTAACAACTGGTTAAGTTCAGTGCTAAAAAAAGTTACTCGCTAAATGACTATTAATATTTAACAATCATATTTTTTTAGACAATTATATATTTTTTTTAAACACACACCAATTAGCTTATCCCCAAAGTAAGCACTGAGGCTTGTGTTATGGGATACGAGGGTAACGGATAGAATACATATACAGTACATAATATATAAATATATTTATAAAGAAATACATATTAATAAACTTTTACATACTATCGCACTTGGGCCTCGTTATTTGATACATAGTTAAATGTGAGTATTAGTCAATGTCTCGTCAAATACATAGTAAAATGCAAAAGTAGTGTCAAATTGTACGTAACGCATTGGACTATTTCACGTCAAATACATAGTAAAATGCAAAAGTTGTGTCAAATTGTACGTAACGCATTTTACTATATCACGTCAAATACTTAGTAAAATGCAAAAGTAGTGTCAAATTGTACGTAACGCATTTTACTATGTCACGTCAAATACTTAGTAAAATGCAAAAGTAGTGTCAAATTGTACGTAACGCATTTGACTATGTCACGTCAAATACATAGTAAAATGCATAAGTAGTGTCAAATTGTACGTAACGCATTTACTATGTCGCGTTAAATACATAGTAAAATGCATAAAATGTGTCAAATTGTATGTAAGGCATTTACAAGAGCAAAAGGTAAAAAAATAAAATACATTATCCTAAGAGGAAGCATGTAAATACTACAAAAAAAAAACAGTTATAAATATTTCAACTCACCCTGTTGTGGCACTGAATATTGATATTATGAAGATTCCACATATCCCTGGAAACATTTCTGATAAACCATGCAAAAACTGTGGAACTAACTGAAAAATAATAACAATAAAAGTTTATTACTTTATGTGAATTTACGTACACAGGTCGAATTTAAGATACATCTTAATATCTTTTCATAAGTATTCATTTTAATGGATATGTATGAAAAACACTATAAACTACCAGAGGATATTGGTGATTCGTCATCCAGGCCAGACATAATTCTCTTTTCTAGGCTCATCAAACATATAGTACTATTAGAGATTACTGTACCGTGGGAAACTAATATTCCAAAAGACCACACAATAAATTGAATAAATATTACGATTTAACCAGCGAACTAACAAAAAATGACGAATGGCGAAGTAGGAGCGAGAGGTATACCAGCAAAATCTCTCTATAACCTTCTAAAAGGTCTGTCGAGAACTACAGTATGTTAAATTTTGGAACGTAACTAAGGCTGCACTAAGAGGCTCCTATCAAATTTGGCTTAGAAGGGCGGGCAACTCGAGCAGTGAAAGTAAGCGTTGATGCGCTTCTTAAACGCCTCCTTAAACCTACAACTGCTCTTCCACACGATGGACCCGGCATCCGCATGGTAAGTCCATGGATTGCTGAGAAGTTCGTATCAGTATTTATAACAAATGTCTTTGAAATCTATTTTATGATTCTATTAAGACAAACAGCTATCAAATGTGCACTTGGGCTAATTGATCAGTTTTACAAAAAGTTTTAGACACGGACCTAGGATTCCAATTTATGCACATGAAACCCACTTGACGCATTATTATTATTTTTACTTCTAGTAGTTGTAGGCCAACAGTACAACAACACATGACAATTGAATGAAATTTATAATAGGATATGGATTATGAGTATTTCTATCAAATGCCTTGTCAGAATGCCATTACCTATGTCTTTGTTTGCTTATTTTTTATTTAACTAGTTTCGTATTCACTACTTTAACATAAGTAAGATATGTGCGTAGATGAATGTATTTTAATTATATTAGTAATTGGAAAATATATTATCGAAAGTATCTAAAATTAATCTCACTTGCTCGTGGTTCTTGATTTTTCCAGTCAGCAAAGGATCGCAGCCAGCGAACCAAGCATAGAGTGCCAGTCCGAGGAAGCAAGACAACAATTTCATAAGTATAACTCCAAAACATGACACTGTGAGGCATATCCTTGCTTTGTTAATTGTTGGTACAGCTTGAAGTTTCTGAAGAGATGACGGACTGAGAGCTATTTTCCAGAGCCAGTTTGTGCTTAGAGCCAATGTTACTGCGAAGAAAGATGTATGGTGAGCCAATTCTGGATCTGGACTGAAATAATAATAAAAAAACTATGGGGATGATTACCTAAACATAACACAAAATTTGACCGCAGTAAGTGTATCTTTATCATACTAGATGGAAAGTGAAAAGAAAAGGCTGCTGTTATATTTAATTGTAAGTTTAAATAATCGTCTCAGAATTAGGCCCTTTCAGTACTAGCCATATTACTAGTTGACAAAAATTTCTTTAATGTATACTTTGGTAGAATATAAGGTTTGGACATTGAAATCGCCTTTATCATTAGCGTACATATTATTATACTTTATTACGTAATTTAAATAATATTAAGTGATCAAATTCCCTAAAATCTATTTCTTTTATACAAATGAGGATGTAATCAAAAAATTGGGTTTAAAAAATACTAACAGAGCTAAAGCGCGTCAAAGTTTAGGAGTGGGGGCTCGTGAAGTCACTTCTAAGTAAAAATTGTAGTAAGAAGTGACGACATGTGATATTCAAAATTATTATACTCTGTTATGTTTTAATTGTTAATAAAATACTCATATAATACTTTTTGATAATCTTCTTTACAGACAAGTAAAGAAAGATAGTTATCATCCATGTTTATGTATTTATGACATACCTAGTAGTTCGTAATTCTTTACAATTATAAAATAAGGTAACCGACTTACTCGTATAGCACTAGTCGTCCTCCCATGTTAGCTATTTCCCACATCTTACTGAATCCCATTGGCAGTAAGGCCAAACCACTTGGTAAAGCTGTGCCTGCCAATGCCAAGAATGACGTTACGATTCCGATACTCACTATGGCTCTTAATCCACCAATTGCAATAAACGTAGCACATGTGACGCAAATAACAGCTGTGACTCGACCAGCAAAAGGGTTGGTCACTGAAAGGAATAAAGTAATATATTACTATGTATTAGCCTTTTTATTTCCAATCTACGCACTAACCTTCCCATATAGGTGATAATTCAGCCATACTTAATGTTTAATTATATTCTTTGCCGGGGCCAACGACTTGACTTCTCTTCTGTCTTCTGGAGTAAAAAGCTTGAGGTGATATTTTTTTATAACCGATCCGCGAACCAGCCATTGTGAGAGTTTACTTACATAATCGAAGACATCCCAATGAATTTATATTTATAGAAATAGAAAGCAGAATAGAAACTAAATCATCTTTCGGCAATGTACTAATAAATACTATTCATGACATTAAAAGACCAAAAAATATGCCTTACCTAATCTAAATGCCATTAGTGGAACATAAGGCACAATTGGTAGCAGCATCAACTTGCTTATAACAAACAAAACTGCGGCAATAACACGTGTATGTGTTGAGAATCTTATTTCCAAATATTCAAAACTCGAAGTCAGTTGCAATTTGTGGAACACTGCAATCAAACAAATTTAACGCAACCTAATTTAGGAATTCCTAGTAGTGGTTTAAAATCAGACCAAAGTTAAGGGACGAGGATCGAGGAGAGGACTTAATTTTATACAATTAATAAAAGGTTGCTTTGCATGAAACCCGAGTTGTATTTTACCACTTCTACACATCTAATGGACTTTTGAGGGGCATTATTAGGACCGGTATGTATCCGGTGCAAGTCGTGTCAATTTTCATGTCGAATATTTTAAAAAATTGGATTAACTGTCATTTTAGCATGGTGATGACTGATGCCTATTATCAGATATATACTATGTTAAATTTTTTGTGTAATTTCGAATAAGACCTCCGGTCCCGGTCCCAAATGACTACCGACTCAAGTTAAGAATGTATGAAATTAGTACTACCTAGAGTTGATATCTTCATTTATTGACACTTACCTGGTAAGTAAATGACAGCTGTTAGGATGGTCACAATAATCAGAGATAGCGCGGACGCCCAGTACTGAGTACCACGAAGATATATTTCTACTGGAACTCCCAGTAACGTAATACTGGTTAAATGACTGAAATAGTTAAAAAACTTTAATTTATTATTGATTTCATTTAATTGACTTTAATAAATCGACCCTCATACTTAAAGCAAGTTTGAAAAGATTGATGCACTGGTAGGTAAGCCGTTTTTGCGACAGGCGGTTTCAGTAAATTTGTAAATAAAACGTTTATTTAACGTAACGGTTATTTATAACTGAGTCTTCATTCAATCTTCATTATTATTGATGTTTCTATTTTTTACAAGCGTTGGTTCTATCTCCATACTTCTTTATGCCGTTAAGGAAGGTGTTAATGCCAGAAGAAAGTTCACTAGTGTGAGGACTATTGCATTACTTTCGGTTTTGGTTCGGTTTTCATGTGCAGATTAATTAATAAATAAAGATATAACTTATTATACTGGATTTTCTGGTAACAAATTATAGTTTCGACTAAAAGCCACGTTTTTGAGAGAAGGAACATAAAACTTTAAAAGCAGTATTTCGAATTCATGAAAAATTACAATGATTAATAATAATAAATTTTTCATAGAAATAATTCTGATGCAATGGTTACAATTTTATGAAACTAAAAAGAAAACTCTACGTACCTGGCTATGAGTGCTAGTGAAATTGATAAAACTGACATAGTTTTACCACCAAACAAAAAACCATTCACTGAATTGTATTTTCTATTCACTACATTAAAATATAGTATGATCCCAATTATCACTCCTAAGTTTATACCGAATAGGCAATATTCAGCAATATTAAAATACAAAGGCGAAACTGGCGAAGTAGATGCATTTCTCATTTTAAATACTGTAAATTGTGAAGCAAAACTTATTACAGACGTCTTACGAACGTAAAATGTTGTTAGCGAGTAGAATTTGCTATCAACTTCTAATGACAATAACAGGTATTGTAGTGATAAAAGTGGATTTGCGTTCCGTCTCTTCGCAAATAAAGTCAACGAGTTTATTTTATGATGACTGAATGTCATAATACCATTGAACGCTGAGCAAATACGGGTAATGACTGTTTATTTTCATAGCTTATCTGGTTCTAATTTTACCTTTGATCTAAATTTTGAGACACTACAACCACTTAATGAAACATATATATAATACAAAAACTGAACTTATAACAGATGATCCGACACAATAAAGATATTGTAGTATTGGCATTCGCAAATGTAAAGTATCATTATCTAAATGTCAACATTAGCATTTTTCACAATCCCTTCTATTAATAATTAAAAATATCAGCTGGGTCATCATTCTGAACTTTATTAATTTCTTCTTCTGGAAATGGATATAATGATGTAGAAGAAAGTATATTTCAGTTTATAACCGAGTAAGAATATAAAGATACTGTTAAAGTCAAGTAAGTAATATTTGCTCAATGTGATATCGCAAAGTAAACAATTGGAAGAGGGGATCACTATGAAAAGTAAAATATAATACGGAAGAGACATATGCTTGCTTAATTTAAACGAAATCAAATGAAATTACACTTTATTCATATTTGATTTATTGAAAGCTCTTTTGAATCGGTGAATATTTTTTCTTAGCATCCATTAGGACATCTTTTAGCTGATGATAAGAATGGCCGCAAGAAACTCATCAGCATTTAACAGAAGTAGCAAATTTTACATAATATAATCATGTCGTTCATTTGAATTTACATTACTATGTCCAATCACATTTTAATCGCTGTGTACCAATACAAATAGCGTTTATATTGGGTATAATGAGATAAAATTTCTATAATAAAGTAGAATAGAGCAGACTATAAAAAAGCCGAATATATAAAATTGAAGACTGGCAAGTGAAACAAAATAGCGGAAAGTGTCTTTCGACGTTCCCTCAAGAAGTCCACGGGGAGGTTCCAGTAAATCCCCACACTTTTACTGAAACATAGGGAAAAGGGGATTGACTTGACTGTCACTTAATTTGACTTGATTTATTACTTTGATCACGAGTGCTATAGTATTTGTAACCATTTTAACACTTGATATTGGCTAAATGCACAAACAGTGCGAAGCCATTTAGAAAAAAAAACTGCAGTAGGTATATTAAAAACTGTCTTTTGTTTAATTCATTACCATTTTTTTTAAATCCTATCCTAATTATAATTTTACCAGAGTGAAGTAGGTACCTACTTTACTCTGGTAAAATTATGTAAATGAGGGCCAAATATTCAGTCAGTTCCTTTAAAAACTTACCTAGGTATATCATATCGAGAGTTTCATCCCGAGACATTTCAAATTTTTCGTCATTCGTGTCATGTAATTTACTATATTGCGAATTGCAATCGAGAAAACGTCAGAATGTAAGTAATATTTTATTTAACAGGACAAGTTTCTCTGGATAAAGTGTTTGAGACAGTAGGTAGGCTTTTTATGGATAATTTTGTTTCTAGTAATTTATAAGTAAATAGAAAGCACAAAAATATTAGATTTGAGATAACCAAAGTTCAAGATAAATCCAGTTTAACTATTTAGTAAATAACAGTACACAAATGAATTGTAAACACTAAATTAAGATAAAAATGTATGGACAAAGAAATGAAAATAATGATATGACAATGCAAAAGGTACAAAAATGAAAGCTGCAAACTAGTAAAATAAGTGTATGCCTATAATATTTTAAGATCAATATCAAAATTGAAATTATAAGTATGCAATAAGAGTGGTAACAATATTTAAATTATGAATAAACAAAACAGATGTGAGACATGTAAAAAAACAAAATAATAACTTGTACATATGAAAGAACAGAAAAAAACGATTCATCGTATGGAAGGGTAACTTTAATAGAAAAAGCATAGAAAAGAAAGCTTCGCTAAATCTTTCACTAAGCGCGGCAAATTGGTACTAAAAAGATATTAGGTAGGTAGGTACAATAATAATACAGTTGAATTTGTTCTTATTATACTTTAATCCACGGGACTCATCCTTATATCGTTTCACATAATTATCACTAAATAAATAGATTGAGACACAAACACTTACACACTATTACAGAAATCAGTTACTGTTATCATTTTTATCGATTCCTCACATCTACCCTTTGAATATCTACTCAAAGCCTCAACCACACAAACACCAACGAACCGATTCACTTGGCGCATGGCGTAGCCCGTCGATTCTAATCACACACGAACCATACTGAGAAATATAACAAATTACTAGATGATAATAATTACAATAAGAGAAAAAATTATAGATTAAAGTAAAATTTATAACTTAAAAATACATGTATGCTAAATTACAGTACCACTTGAATGCAAAATAGAAAATGAAAAATAGGCAAAGTATAAATCATAATATAAATAATAAAAAAATCGCTGGTTTCATTTCAACTAGACACCAGCTTCAGTACCATTATTATTATTATTTTGCCATTCAAGTCAAATACAAATGATATTTTATATTTTTTATTGAGTAATCTAGGTTGTAATTATAAAAAAAACATACCGACTAAATTAAGAACCACATAATCATAATAATCATAATCATAATCAAAATCATTTATTCAGTTTAGGCTGTTACAAGCACTCATGAATGTCTAGAAGCTTCGCCATCGGTTCGTAAATCTACGGCGGGAGACCTTGTACTGAGAAGAACCGACAAGAAACTCAGCAAGGGCTGTTTTTTTCTCCCTGTTTTATTATTTACAGAGTCGTCAAATTGAAAAATGACTTCAGAGGTGATTCATAAAGTCACTTTTCATTACATAATTATTAAATATACATTAATTGTTTACCTGCATTTTGATTGCTGTGTCATACAGTATAAATACAAATAGTGTTATTTATATTCAGTGTGACTAAACATTAACTTCAATATTAAGGAAGTTAAGGCAGACTCATCTCCGCTGGCAGCACCCGTTCACGAGCATGACGCATGAACCAGCCATCGCTTCGCTCAACCATATTTTAGGGAACGTAACGACCCGCCTCACACGACACCGCCGAAGAGACTATTATGAGAGCATGACTACCATAACTACCCATACTAACTACAACATATTTACTTAAATTAAGGTACCTGTAAGACACAACAAACAATTACAAAAACAAAGCAAAGGAGAAATCACGACCACACCGTTTTGTCAATCAAATATTCTTAAACAGTCTGATAATCTTCCTTAAGTTATCAACTTTATATACAGCTTTCAATTTAATTATAGTATTGTCAACACATAATTCATAATTTAAATCATATAGAAATACCCTTTACAATGGTTGGAACAGTTCATTCCCAAGCATTTTTGTCTGTAATATAATCAGACACTTTATAATATGCTTTCTTAACTAGTGATTTTTTAATGGTCGATTTAAATTTAGCCATGCTTAACTCTTGAATATTACTTGGAACTTTATTGTAAAAGCGAACACTAAGACCTCTAAACGAATTATTGATTTTGTGGAGCCTAGTAGCAGGTAAAGTTCAGTTATTTTTATTTCTAGTATTATATGTATGTATTTCACTATTTTTAGTAAACAAATTAATATTTTTTTTTACAAATACTAATGTATTGTGATGCAACTGTCAATATACCTATTTCTTTAAACTTATCTTTTAATCGTATCAATAGAACACATCCTTTTCGATGTCAGTTAAAATTAAATAACACTATATATACTTAAAGCATAATGCTCTAAGCACTAATATTAAGTGCTGCCACCTATGCTATTAAAGAAGGACCAACAAAAATATTTAAGCGCCACCTAGTGGCACAGGTTTAAAACAACGTTTTAACTAGTGAGCTAAGAAAAGCATCTGCTAGAAAAGCATGTGTGTATGGAGTATGAGTAACTCAATAGAGATGGCGTCTTCTAAACAATTTCCTTACATAGATAAAATTAAAACTACACTGTACCTATAAATAGTTTATTCTATTATCAAATCCGCCACTTAAAGATGATTATAAAAAAAGTGATGTGTAAAAATATTTTTTTCATTTTCAAAATAAAACAAACACGATTAAAATAAAGCAGTGACAATCACTCGCATCATGAAAATCTTTATTAATGAATGATAATTATTTTATTAAAAGCGTAACCTTTTGATATAAACTAAATCACCAGTGATTTTCACAGTGCCGTAACCAATGGGTAGAAACGAAAACCTATTGCTGTCACTCTGTTTTCTATCTACCAGATAACATTTCTACGTTATAATGACTCCAAATACAGTCATTTGCGACGTCATATTATGACGTCGGTTGGTCCAAAAAAGCATAAAAGTACCTCAATTTGTCACAGACAGGATGTCAGAAGAGGAGTGAGTAAGACGTCATCATGACGTCTTGAGGTTTGCTTTGTGGTCGGTAAAAAATTAACTGAACCAAGGTCCAGCCATTCAGTTCCGTGGGTCCAGCAAGAGTGGCACAGTTAACATTTTTCTAAAAAGAAAAAATATGGGTTCAATCTTTCAGATGAGTGCACGAAACTAAATTTAATGTCGCACAACAAAATGTTCGTATTTCATAGTTTTACGTTCAGGATAGGGGGGTGAACGAAAGGGGGGAGTGGTCCTGATATTATTATGGATGGCGGGTAGCTTTTACCCACATTAGAATATTACCCTTACACCTGGCCCCGGGCGACCTCGGTAAATACAGTTTTTGCAGTTTTATGGCAAGTGGAGGGTTGCTTTGTATGTTGATTTGGGAATACTTTGGGAAAGGGTTAGTAATGATATTAGTGGACTAAATCAGACATAAATGTGCACTTTGCGGCAACTCGACAGTTCAATATAAGTTTTATTGGTTAAGAAGAATTTAGATAAGTCAATAGCTCCCTGTTTTGGTTTTTAAGATTTAAAGGTTGCCTTGAAAATGCTTAATTACTTTCATGTATTATATCTTTTATAATTGTATTTTTTTATCGTTATCTTTGAAGAATAATAACTTTGTAATAAAATAGAGGTAGGGTGGTGGATTATTTATTGATTAACATGGTGGTTTTTACTTATTTTAAGGCAGTACCTAGATTTTTTTATGTTAAAAGTGTGACTAATAAGCTTATGGTCCGCCTGATGCCCCATGGTAAGCAGCCACCAAAGTCTATAGTCGCTTGTGATACGAAACATATCAGTCGA